CAATAGATTCTAGATTATGATTTTGAATTGTTGATTGACATTAGAAAGGAAGCCTCAATGACAAAAGTAATCCAACAAGGCTAGTTTTGCTACAGTGCAAGTCAACCCAACTTATCGTGCAACTACACCATGAAGGAAAGTTGTACTCAACTAGCTTGGTAGTGTCCTATTTCTCCAGTTCGGTGAATACTTGCAACTTTTGTTGTCCTTCAGGCCTTGTTATCATCCTTCTTCAGCAATGATTTCCAATGCTGACTTGTCCTTAGGAACCTTCCATGTGTTTTTACCCAAGAGGTTGCATCAAATTCAACCTAGACAACTGTTGCCGCTTGTATATGAGGATCCCCTTAAATAATGATCATCGAAAACGCTAAGCCGACAGAGTCAGCTATCATATTCACCGCTCTCTCAATAGACTCAGATAATACCATGTGGTCATTAGAGAAAGAGAACTGCACACATGGAACCTTATGGAGCATTCCATCAGTTGGGATCTAAGTGACACTACACCACAACACCGCTTCACCATCAGACATCTGACGCTAAAAATTATATTTGGCGATAGATGATATGACGCTAAAGATAACTCAGAGACCATCTGACGCTAAATCCTCATTTAGCGATTTGTTGTCTGTCGCTATAGATGTTCATGTTTAGCGTTAGCCCGTCTGTCACTAAAACCAGATATAGCGTTGATCTGTCTAATGCTAAAAAATGGGCCCCATGCCTAGCTCACATGCCCTGTCTCCATATGCAGTTTGTGCGCAAATTTTTGCCTGGCACACGGCAAACGCACGCAGCCCTGGCTTCCTTATCCCATTGCTTGGCCATCGCTCCCCATCCACCCGCATCTATCTCTCCCTCACGACCTCCTCCTAGCAGACTAACGCCGGTGTCGATGCCCCTGCTCTTCCGTTCCCAACGCGAGCTCTGCCTCCCTCCCTTCTCCGGCGCTGAGGTCGCCCTGCTCCCTAGACGGGCCACGGTGGCGTGGGTCAGGCTTGGTGCATGAGCTCATAGCCGCCAACCAGAACCCTAGCCACCGGCCGATGGGGTGGCTACCCTTCTTCTCCCCTGGCCAGATTGACGACGGGGTGGCAGCCCTTCTTCTCCCCTGACCGAATCTACTATGGGATGGCTGCCCTTCTTCTCCTCTAGCCAAATCCACGATGAGTCGGCTGCCCTTCTCCTCTGGCCAGATCCACGATAGCACACCACCGCTCTGGCAACCTTCTCTTCCCTTGCTGTTGTGCTTCGCCGATGATGAGCGCACCCACCAGGTATGCATGCCCCTTCTCTTCCCTTGCTATTGTGTGAAAGCCAGCACCCTAACTTATGATATTTTGCAGATCTGAGGAGGAGGAGGCCGGGGAGAAGAACCGGAAGTCACAACTCACCCGATTGATTCCTTGCTGCAGCATCCCTCCCTCGAGCAGGACAGTAGGTACCTGATTGATTCCTTTACTCTGTATTTTCTACTTGCTTCTGGTGTCTTCTCTCGAGCAGGACAATAGCATGCCAATTTGTTTATATTTGTTTTGCTTAAGCGTATCTTGGAAATTATAATTTGATGTGGCTAGCATATCATAATTTTGTAGGTTGAAATGTTTCTCTAGTTTTTTATGCCATGTAGTTTTCAAAAAAAAAGAATTCAGGCCTTATCAGGGCATATTACACTACATATCATGCATGTACTATGTGTATGAATGATATAGTTGACGTGCTATGTGTTTCAATGTTGTGATATACATGCATGTGCTATGCTTCTCAGCTGAGGTGGCATGATAAGATAGTGCACACATTCCAGTTTCCACATTTTTTGTGGATTTCTTCTCATCCATATTTTGTTTGATATTCAGTTCATTTGAATTATTCGTGTACCAGAGACTATGTTATAGTTAAAAATTAACAGTGGCTTTTGCCACAAAATATTCTTTTATTTGAAGCACACTTTGATGCTATTTTTCAAGCTTAGAGTTATTCTCCATGGCCTCAATCAGTCTGAATGTTAGGACTTATCATGCTGAATTGAACATATATCATTTATGCCAACATGAACAAAAATTGGATGATTGATAATTTATTTTAGTTAGTTTTATCCTTCAAGTCTTCAACTATCTACATAAAGTGATTGGCAATAAGTGTTAAGCTATCAGAAATGTAACTTTACAAATGATCTTTAGTGTTGGTTGAATTTGCCCTGGTATTTGATGTACAGCCAGATGAATCTCCGGTTCAAAAACAAAAAAAGAAGAAAAATGAGAACATGCTTGTCTTTGTCCTTCCTTTGGTTTCGATTTCATTGTTCTTTTTGTGTGGCATTCAAAGATAGTTTGCCTGTGCTTGCATTTTCTGCGAACTAAAAGGCATTATTACATACTCAACTACAAACTGAGTGTTGCTTATCTTGCGAAAAATATGACCTGAAGGTTTAGTATTCCAATTGAACTGATTCAGGAAGCTCCTGGATCTAGGGTTCCGGTGAGCTTTTCTCCTCTCTCTCTCTCCCAACTCCAATCTGTGGCGTGAGACATTCTAACTACATTGTAACAACCTTGCTTGTAAGCATACTATAACTAGTACCTAAGGCCTAAGGGAACTACGGTTTGTAGCTTATCACCCTACCATTAGTAGTATGTGCTTCTGTATACACTTTTAACACTTCATTTACTCTTATCCTTAGTGATTTTATTAGTTTACATGTGCTAGTAAATAGCTTACCCTTTCAGGGTTTGATATTCTAGTGCTAAATGCACATTGTTTAATAAACAACTTACTCTCTGTGTTTCTCAAGCATCAATATTCAGAGACCCTTCATCACAATCTTAGCAACCTTTCTCGCATTATTCTTAAAATAATGCAACAATACTAAGCTCTCTTGTGCTTTCAAGAAAAAAACCTTTAATGACTTACAATTAATAGTGTTTTAGTAGGTAGATATTGATCCTAAAAAAAGATAAATATTCTAATATTAACCCTGTTGTCTATTGAACCAGGAAGATATGGATGGTCGCAAGAAGAACCGTGAACTTACTGAAACTAGGGTTATCTAGGTTAGTAAGGCAAATATGGTTTATGTCAGTTCCATGATGCAGATCAGATAGATAACCTCCGAACATCGTTTAATTTAGGCTTTACGGGAGGAACTTGCTACCGCAGAGCATAGGGCTGAAGAAGAGCGCATTTCTCATAATGCCACAAAGATGGTAATTTGTCAAAGTTCAGTCTATTCAGCACTTTATATTCTCCAGAGTTTCTTCTGTTATATTCTAGTCACTTGTTATAATACAGGCAGCTATTGAGAGAGAAGTAGAACTAGAACATTGGGTTGTTGAGGCATCAAACGCTCTAGCTAGAATCCTAGTAATTTTACAAGGTATAACTATCATCATGCAAGGATTTTAAAGTTATGCAGCTAATTTTTTGGATGCAAACCGAAAACTAGCACATTGATGGTAAGCAAATGTTTAGTTCTTATTAAGCTCCTGTGTCATATTTGCGCACAATAAAACAATGAAAGCTCATGTATTACTGTCTGCAGGGGCGGATATGGGCCTTGGGCCACTAGGGCCACGGCCCTAGGCGTGGGCCAAAATATTTTGTATAACATATGTAAATGTTTAGCCCAATTTGAAGTGGCCCTAGGTGTGGACCAAATTCTACCGGCCCAGGCACAGAGATGTGAGAGGGATCCTGAGTTACTCCTCTAGTCGCCAGAGTTGCATGACAGTATGATCGTATTTGTGGTGGCCAATGCGCCAGGCCCGCCAGCCATAGGAGCGCGAGTGCAGGCTACTCATCTGACAGTCTGATTTCTGAGCCATGGTAAATTCCGGTTCTCATAACCCATTTTTCGGTCCCCTTCTCCCGATCTAAAACTTGCCTGGATGATTCAACTTCCATGAATGACTAATTGATTAGTCGATTCTTGTAGAGTTGCACAATGAAGACATTAAAATCCTTTTTTCTCTCTTGCTCCTATGCCAACCCATCATTAGTTAAGTTTTTCTAATTATTTTTTTGTTTCCATCAATTATGTTCTGGATTTAAGCATGGAATAGAGATATATCATCTAAACTTATGAAACTTATGAGTTTATGAGCTATATTTGTTATCTATCAATATTAGATCCCGTGTGGATGGTATTTTGACCCGGCTGCCATAGTGCACATGCTTTTCTAGTGGCCCTAGGCATGAAAACTAACGAGCTCCTCCACTGACTGTCTGGTTCTTTTGGTCTTCAAGAACCATTACAGTCAAATAGGCTAGATGTATAATAACTTACCTGTCTTGTTATGGTTATTCTTCTAAAATAAAAGTTTCTTATGCATACTGTTAGTGGCGGATCTAGAAAATTATCACCGGGTGTGCACACTGCACACTGACCAAGGTAGTAGAACTGGGAATTCAAGAACTGCCATCAAAATTTTGGACATAAGTATGACCGTACATGACTATTGTACTTTTGATCGGTAACAATTTCATAACTTGAAAACCTCTTGTTAAAAGCATTGTTCGAGTAGGAAAATTTTACTTTGTATAGAACTATAGATTGTCCGAAACAACTACTATTCACTTAAGGAGTTCAGGTCCAACCATGAGTCTACCAAAGGGTCCAAATGAAATCATAATATTTGTCCTAACATCAAAACTTTAGTGGAGAGATGCCACCCAAAAGAATGAGAAAAAGCAAGCAATACATTAAAAGGTTCCTATACAAAAAGAAAATGGATTAGCGAAGGTTTGGGGTTTCATGTCATTGTAGAGCAAGAGCGGTTGTATTGTTGACTTACGCATATGCATGGGCTTGAGCTTCAAAGATGAATTCATCTCACAAGCCGTGGGCGCGCTCAAGTTAGCCGCCTTAATCTGCTGTGTCCGCCACGGTTGGCGGCACAGAGCTCACGTCGGCTCTGATGCGGCTCCCAATCCCTACCTGCGTGGGGCCATGAGGTCCCGATGCTCGGCTTTCACGGTTTAGCTCCCTTGGAGAATCAAAGATGGCACGGCTTTTGATTCAAAGTGTCTGTGCGGTGATTCCTTTTCTTTTCTTGTGTTTAGCTTATTCTCTGGATGAAGTGGATCAGATGACGCGGGAGCTCCGGAAGAAGTCGAAGCAGCCCATTCCTGAGGATGCTTCCGGCTTTGAGGTAATGCTTCAATATGTCAAGTTTAAGTCTCTCTTGTTATCTCATTTTTGTTAGCTAGATAAAGTCGTGGGCAGCAGTGCCTTAAAGTTATTTAGGGGGAATTATGAAATGTGACCTTTGATGATGGGAGATCTAATTAGCTGTGTGAAACACTGATGATGCCACTATCGTGAAGCTGTTGAGGTGGCTATTTGGTAGCCAAACTTTAGCTCTTGAGCTAGAAATTTGTATGTGCTGAAATTGCATATGGGGAACTTTGGTTTTATTGCATTTGTTGCTTGAACCTTGAAATAGCAGCTGTCATTTCCCCCCACTTATTGTTCCTTCCAAAACTAGTACATGACCGCCTTGCTAGGATTTGAACATATAGGGTACTAAAATGTTTCAATGACGCTCTATGGTACGCTTGCATTCTGGGAATATAGTAGAAGGCCTGAATTGGTTTTACAGGACTAAGGTTTCCACTGTATCTCAACCATGCATAAATTAACTATTTTTCTTGCTTGCAGAGGTTTTAGGCTATGGCTTATTCAGCAGCTATGAAAGGTAGTGGCTACAGCATACTCTTTCCTCATCTTTCTCATTACTATCTCTGCCCATTGGACTTTTTGTGTATCATGCATATCTTTCTGAGCAGCTAACAAGCAATTCACCATTTTGTTATTCTTTCTTAAACTAGAGCCTTCAGGCAATTTCTGTCTCACTTCACTGTGTATAACTACCACCCTTAAATATAATATTCTATGTCCCTAACACTACAGCCCCTACTGTATGCAGGCTGTAACCTTGAATTTACAATCCCTTTGCAGTAGTCAAATATGATACTAGACATTACATTTGAGAATACCACATAGTAGCATATAGCCATATATGCATGTGTGAAATAGCTAGGTAATGTTAGCAGAAGCTTACATCACACATCATGATTGACTAGAGAAGGTTTGGCAATTGTAGGTAGCTTTTTGTGCTTGCTTCCTACAGTGATTGGTGAGTGTGGTTGCTGCACGACAGCCGCAGTGCTGCTGCAGCAATCATTGTCGATCATACCCAAAAATTTTGTCAGTCAAGCGGCTTGCAACTCTTATTGTTTTATACAATCTTTGTAAATAAATGAGCTTTGCTTGCCCTCATCATATATGATAGTTGACATGCCATTATTGCTAGATAACCTTACATGCTTGGTGACACCAATTCAATACTAAACGTCTGCCATGTTCTCTCACATAAGTGTGATTTATGTGCCCATTTCAGAGTGGAGGTTGGAGCCAATCCACCGAATGCAGGACATGGGCCCAACTATTGTCACATAGCGTTAGGTATAACCGTTAATGCATCCTGATGCTGATGGGCTGCAATTGCATATTTTTCAGTGAGAAAAAAGCTTCCTGGAAACTTGAGATAGGAGTTGTGATAAGAAACTTGAGATAGGAGCTGGTGACATGCATCTAAAATGGAGTGATTCCTACTTTTGTAATAATACATCATACTGAAGCATAGTAACTTTATCTGATCATGGATCTATGTTTCAAGTTCATGAATGAATCTATTTGTATGAGAAATGTGCACAATGATGTTACTTTTGTATTAATTTGCAACCAAATGGCCTTTTATTTTTTTAAATGCATTTAAATGATCTCGTCAAACCATCTATCGCTACAAACATTTGTAACTTCAAATTGTCTATCGCTATAGAGTCTTGGCGACAGGCTATCTGTCGCTAAAGAGTTGCAGCAGACTATCTGTCGCTAAAAAAATTTAGGGCAACAGACTGTCTGACGCTAAAAGTACTGTCTAACGCTAAAGATTTTTAGCGATAGCACTTACAGCGTCTGCAGAAGTCTATCGCTATAACTTTTTAGCGTCAGACTATCTATCATTGTAGCCGCTTTTAGCGTCAGACCGTCCATCGCTAATCTTGGTGTTGTGGTGTAGTGTGATTTGACAGTCTCCAGCGACGCAAACACCTTCCGCTAGTAGGCCAGTTTCCTAACAAGAAGGGTTTTTGTGGAACATGATTGTTCATATACATGCTATATCCATTAGAAAAACAAATAATTATGAGTAGTTAAGTTATGCTCTATTGCACTCTCCGTATCCTGAGAACAAAGTATTGTGCTATCTTGTATTCCTCCCAGAGTAACAATGCTTCATGGAAGTCAATAAAGGAAATTCTTCAGACACAATGTACTATGAAGAGCAAGTATCAGAAAGTTGTCTTGATCAAATTAGCCTCTCTGATGCTCGAAGCTAAGTAGCCTAATGCTATCACTGATATTGGAAAACAGATGACATGCTTTTTTCCCTTAAAAGTCTTTCGCACCAAATCTCAGGGCGAGATTCTTGTAAGGGGGGAGGGCTATAACACACCAGGTGTTTGTCACCAGTTAAGCAGTGGGTTTGAGCTCCAACATGACAGGTTTAGTGGTAATCAAGAGTTCTAGTTCAAACTTGTAAGTGGTGACAAAGGTGTTGGGATCAACTCTCTAAGAATGAGACCCAACTTAAACTTGGACAACACACCTTTGCTTCTATGTTGACCCTTTTCAAAGGTATGCCTAAGTAATGTTTAAAGTGCCCATTTCATGTGCTTCACATCCATTTCCATCTACATTGACTATTGGAAAGGTTTCATGAAGTTTGGAGTAAAAGGTCACATGAAATGATAAGTTACATTTTGCTTAAATTGCTTCATTAAACAAATGGAAACATGGGATGTCAGCCAAACCTTGCAACCTTGCTCAAACAGTTCTAATTCGACTCATGAACAAAAGTCATGAAGAGTTCATGTTGAGCAAATGTCAAGAAAATGCCTCAATCGGCCTAAAACTCTAATTTAAGCCTTATCGTGATGCTGCTTTGGCCAAGGTGAAACAATAATTTTAGGACCAGATATGAAGTTTGACCTTAAACAGAAGTTGAAGTTTAAGTTATGCATAGCAAACTTTGTTTTAGACCTAGCCCTAAATCAAATTGCAATCAGGCCAAAAAGAGGTTGAAAGTTTGAATCTACTGCTGTTTTGTCAGGCTCAAAATATTTGTAAGTCCTCAATTGACAGCAGGTTTGTGCCAAGTTTGTGACATTTTTCTCTTGCAAAATTGTATGGTAACTCAATTGGATTCCTTAATATAAGTTGAAGTGCTATCCATGGAGATAACAACAAAACAAGTCTCATCAAGTTTGGATCACGTTTGGACCTTCAAAAATAAGTTCAAAAACAACAATGGCTAACTGTTTCCTAGGTGTTAACTGAATCTCGGTTTCAGTTTTGAGTACCCCACTTTGGAGCCTCATATCTTTCGAACCGAGCCGAACCAATCCTAGATCCTTTAAGCAAAGTTGTAGTTTAGTTTTAAGTAGAACAACTTTTGTTTAAGTACCAAGACATAGTTAGCCTCTAACATAGCTAGTTAGGGACCCCAACATCGAATCAAATGCTGTTTTTGGGGCCCAAAAATCGGCTGTCTGGGACTGAACTTTTTCAGTTTTCTATTTGCAAGTACCCTACTTTGGGGATTTATATCCATTTGGATTTGGACCAAACTCCTTTAACCAAAGTTGTTAACCTCATGTAGCTCTACGAAGTTTACCACGGTGACTTGACCTAATCTTGCTCGGATTGGGAGATAGAGAGGAAATAAATTTGGGGATTCAGTTGGTTTTTGAACCAAATTGAAACAGCTTCAGGAGTTCATGAATGACCACAGACAAGAGAGTGACGCCGCGTGGCTCCTTTGTGCTGCCCTCACTTGCCACCTCGCCCCCATGCGCATGAAAATGGAGACCCGACACCCTCTTCTCGCTCGCTCTCTCATTCTCTATCTCTCTCGCTCAGTCCCTCTCTATCTCCTCCGCTCGTCCTCCATGAACGCCCAAGTAGAGCTCCTGCCATTGTAGCTCCTCCCCTACAGCGCGCCTCCCCTAGCTCCTGCAACCTCTCCCTCTCTCTATCCTGTGATGGCCACGTTGCCCCTCCTCCACTGCCCGTCGTTGGAGCGCCGCTGAACCTGGCCATTGCCGTGCCATTGAGCCGTCGCCCGTGGCCATGTCGTCGGTGGCTAGCTCGGGCCCAGCCAGTGCTAGCCATGGGCGTGGCCTGATGTTGTCAAGCCCCGACGCCCTCCGTCTACCACCGCCGGTGTCCACGCCCGCTAGAGCCGGTCGCCGTCCCCTGCTCTGTTGCCGTCGGGTTGAGGAAGAAGGGCAAAAACTTGAGTGTGAAACTTTTTGCTGGGTCCAGAAGTAAAATGTGTAGAGAGAAGGATTATTCATATATGGGCTTAGTTAATTAGGGGAAAATTTTGTGTTCACTTTGCAAAAGCGTTTCTCCTTTTCTTTTTCTGTTTATTGCAATTATTCGGTTGAAAATTTGGAAATTCGTAGTAAATCATAGAAAAATCGAAAATAGCAAAGGAGGATGTTTTGGAATCTTTGAGAGTAGATCTACATAGTAGAGTCATAATATGATATGTGTTAGTAGAAGGTTTTTGATTTTTTTATTTATCTATGTTAATTACGGTTCTCTAGGAATAAATTCATATCTAAAGTTGTGGTGCTCCAATTGCTGTGAAATTTTTATGGTAGGCTACTGATGCTATGTGTGTGATGTGGTAAAAAATTTCATGTTCATTGTATGTAGTATGATTGATTTAACTTGTTTAATGCTTGATAAATGGTTTTAAAACAGTTATAATTTTTATAAAGGTGTAAAAATGAAAAATATTGTTCCTCTAGCTTTGTATAATGTTGTGCTACTATAATAACATATAATATGGCCATGTGTTTATAGAAAATGATGATCTTTAGATTTATCTTGCTTTTACATGTTTTCTTGGAATAGCAATTTGCCTTTTTCATAGTAATTAAATTATAGAACCTGAGCATCTTAAATTTGTACAGTAATCATATTTTGTCATCATCTTTCTCTCAAAAAAATCTCAGCTCTAAATTCCATGTTTGCAACATCACATATAACTAATATATAAATCATTTATAAAGAATGAATGTGAGCTCACTAGTAAATAATTATATATATGTTTTCTTATGAAGCTCCTAATGCATGTTGAATAAGTAAAATGCTGCTTGGTTATGTTAGGAGTGCCTTGGAGTGTATGCATGGCTTATGTCTGTGCTATCTTGATTAACCCATCAAGGAATAACTTTGTTGCATATGTGCTGATTTGGCTACATGCGTAGTTTCTGTTGAACTGATAACTTCATGATGCAAATGATCTTTTCTATGGATGTGGTTAATACAAAAGTGGTATCTAACTCCATTATCCTGATAGTTTTGGAGTTATACTCCCAGCAAGTTTATTGTCAGGTTTTGCTTATGCTCTATGAAGATTTGAATGATTGTTTTGTTTGACCTATTTAAACATGGAATCACATCTGGGTGATAATAGAAGAGTTGTAGTGCTTTTGTGATTTCCATAATGTCTAAGAGCACTACTTTTAGTGGTCTAGAACTCTAGTTATTGTTGTTCAAAGTAGAATTGCAGATTCTATCCAAATCTGGAC